GATGTTATGGGCACAATAAAAATAGTTGCCCTCAAAATCCTCAGAATTAAACATCCGAGCAACCTATAAGGAATAATGGCACAAATTCGACCAAAAGCCATGACCAAGGTACAACCACTTCAAGAATCTTTGAGAGAGAGAAAGGAAATCAGAATAAACATATGAGTGAGCCGGACATTACCAGAAACTTTCCAGAGGAGGAGTTCAAAGAGTTCATGAGATTTTAGTGAGATGCGATACATTCGAAAGGCACATAAAATCCAAGAAACCTGACTGATAGCTGCCTAACACATCACAATCGAGGACCCAAGCAACCTATATCTGGGATGCGATTCAACGTATTAGCTAATCTGGAGCAAGAAATTGACGACCATAAGAGAGAAGAAGCTAGGACAAGCAACAGTCGACTTAAGCAGATGGCGCCCACGAAAATGGTCAGACAAGTATGGAGGAAGAAAGAAATATCTGGAGTGAAAAGGGCAAGACTGATCGATCAGGAAGCTATGACAGATGAAGCTACAGTTGAAGGCTCTAAGGGGAATGAAAACACTAATGGATCAAATAAAGGTCATAAAAAATCATAAATTGGGCCTAGCATTGAAAAATCCGCCAGCAAGAACTCACGGTTTGGGCCTAACTTTTCATGGAATGGGCCAACTATTGTAAACTTAGATAAATCCGTCCAAATCGAGAATCCACCCAAGAACGTGAACCCCAAACCCACTAAAAGAATACACAATGTTGTGAAAGGAAATAAAAGAGATTTGTCTACTACAGATAGGCCCAGCACCGAAAAATGCCAAGAATGAATCTGTTAAGGGAACAGCACTTAGAAGCATATCAAATGAATTTTATACCCCTGATTTTTCTATCTGGAGTAATGGTAAGTCTCGATTATCATATCAAAATTCTCTAAATCCTTCTAACCATCATCTTGACCAAAGAAAATCTCTTGACCTCGTGCCTAGTCAAACTATTTGGCCAAAAACTCAGCTTAATGAATTTGTTGATATGGAGCAAAATAATGAAATTACAGGATTGAATCCTGGAAATTATAAAGATGAATTATTGGATGACGATTTACTAGATGAGGAGTACCAGAATCAGGTTCACAATGAAGACCTGGATGATGACAAATTCAGTGATGATGAAATTGAAGTCACAGATGTCTAGCCTCTGTTCAGGTTTATCTAACCTTTTATTTACTTATGGATATTATTTGTTAGAATTGTAAAGGTACTTGTCCTAAAAGTTTTCCTAAGCATATTAAAGAAATAACTAGAACTTATAATACTCAAATTTTGATCCTTTTGGAAACTAGAGCTAGTGGCACTAGAGTCGATAATATTGTTAAAAAACTTGGCTTTTTTGATTGGATTCGCGTTGAAGCTACAAGCTATGCTAGTGGTATTTGGATTTTATGGAATAATGATATTGTCAATATTGATTATATTTCCTCTAATGTCCAACTTCTCCACTGCAGGGGTAATATTATTGGTACTAACAACTATTATTTGCTTTCTTGTGTTTATGGTGATCCAAATCCTGTTAACCGTGATCTCCTTTAGGATTCTATTAATTCTATTGCTCTAAATACTACTGATCCTTGGCTCGTCGTTGGAGATTTTAATTCTTACCTTTCCTATGAAGACAAATCTGGTAGTGATAGTTTTAATTGGAAATATATGAAACAGTTCAGGCAGTGCATAAATTCTTCCAAACTTCTTGAATTAAATTTCCACGGAGATAGATTTACTTAGGAAAAAGGGAAAATAAAAGAACAACTGGATTGGGCTTTCTGTAATATAAATTGAAGACTCAATTTTCACCAGGCCGATTCCTATCATCTTCTCAAATATGGCTGCAACCATCGCCCAATTAGAATCTAGCTTATCAGGAAGGAATATCAGGAGCACCAGAATATTCCCTTTAGATGCCATGCTGCTTGGTCTCTTGAAGATTCTTTCCAACCTTTGGTCAAAGATTCTTGGGGCACTAATGATTAGATAGAAGGGGTTTCAAAATTCACCACTTCTGCTCCCCTCTAGAATAAGGATAAAATTGGTAATATATCCACTAATAAGAAAAGGATTTTACGTTAGCTGGAAGGAATTGATAGGAGCAGAAACCAAAGTGACAGTTACTTTCTTAAGAAATTGGAAAAATCTCTTTGGGAAGATTACAATCAAGTCTTCTTGCAAGAAGAAATAATTTGGTTTCAAAAATCTAGATGTAAATGGCTAAAATGGGGAGATCAAAACACCAAATTCTTCCATGCTACATCTATTATTAGAAGAAAAAGGAATCAAATTCTTTCTCTTAAAGCTGACGATGATACTTGGATCCAAGATCAGAATGATTTAGAAAATATGAAAGTCACCTATTTTGAAGATCTCTATAGGGATAACATTGATGATAAACCCAAGCTTTTTTCTAAAAAAAGCTTCCCTACCCTATCTTCCATTCAACTTCAATCTCTTCATAGAGATGTGACGGACGAAAAAATAAAGAATGTTACCTTTGAGATTGGACCTTTTAAAGCCCCAGGCCCTGATGGTATCAACGTTGGCTTCATCCATACTTACTGGGAAGATCTGAAGCATAATATTATTCAGCTTGTTAAAAAGGTCTTCAAGGATCCTGATTCTATTAGGATAGTTAATGACACTTTCCTCACTCTTATTCCTAAGATTGACCATCCCACCTCCATGAAAGACTTTCGTCCCATTTCTCTTTGTAATGTGAGCTATAAAATAATCACCAAAATCCTCTCTAATCATCTACGTGCCTATATGAATCATCTTATTAGTGATAACCAATACAGTTTCATACAAGGGCATCAAAGCAGTGACAACATCATTATTGCCCAAGAAGTCATCCATACCATGAGAAAGAAAACGAGTAAAAAAAGATTCATGGCACTTAAGATTGATCTTGAAAAGCCTTTGATAGATTGTCTTAGAAATTCATCGATGATACTCTCGAATCTAATGGTAAAAATAAACACTTCAGGAATTTGATTCAAGCTACCATCTCTACAACCTGCATGCGGATCCTTTAAAATAGACAACCTACTAGAGAGTTCACACCTACTTGTGGCATTCGTCAAGGGGACCCTATTTCTCCTTATCTATTTGTCCTTTGTATTGAACGTTTAAGCCATTATATTAACAGTAGTATTGAAAACAATGAATGGAGACCTATTACATTAACTACTAACAGTCCCCATATTTCTCATTTATTTTTTGCTGATGATCTTTTTCTTTTTACAAAATGTTCTCTTACTCAAGCTGTTATCATCCAACAATGCCTTTTCGATTTCTGCAGTGCCTCTGGACAAAGTATAAACTCAAAAAAAATCAAAGCTCTTTTGTTCAAAAAATGTCAATATCAACAGAGCTACACAAATTAGTGGCGAACTAGGGATTCCTCTCTCTGGCAATCTTGGAAAATATCTTGGAATTCCTATCATTTACAAAAAGGTGTCTAAAGTCACTTTTGCCCCTCTTCTTGATAAGACGAACTCTCGCTTGGCAAATTGGAGGAGTAGATATCTGAATATGGTAAGGAAATCTGTACTTATCAAATCCGTTCTTTCAGCTCTTCCCAGCTAATTGTGCAGACTATGTTCTTATCGGATACTATTTTGTTAGAACTAAAAAAAATCTCCAGAAACTTTCTTTAGGATTCGACTGATGGGAATAAAAAACCTCACCTCCTGTTTTGGGATAAAATTACTATGGATAAAAAAGAAGGAGGACTTGGCCCTAAGAAACTGAAGAATCAAAACATTGCTTTCATCATAAAGCTTTGTTGAGGCTTAATCAATAAGCCTAATTGTCTCTGGGTTTGAATTTTACGTGATAAATACAAATGTGATAAACCCAAAATTCCCATGGTTGTCAAACCAGATAATTGTTCTTATACTTGAAGTAGCATTTACAAAGTCTGGGATAAATTCATGCTCCATGTAGGTTGGAAAATTAGAAAAGGAAATCAAATATTCTTTTGGTATGACAAATGGTCTCCGCTCCCTGAGCCTCTTGTTAAGCATGCATTTCCTAATGCCGATCCTATTCTACATGCTAGGGTCTCTAATTTTTCTAAAAATATAGGAGGATGAAATTTTGATCTATTAAGCCACTATCTCCATTCTGATGTGATCAAAAGTATATCTCTTGTGCAACCTCCTAACCAACATAGTAAAGAAGATGTCCTTTTTTGGATACCTTCCTCTGATGGCAACTTCTCTATCAAATCTGCTTATAAAGCTATGGAGTCACACAATGAGCAGCACTACTCTGACTTATGGTCTAAGATTTGGAAATGGCCAATATATAAAAAAATAAAATTCTTTCTTTGGAAGGTTGTATTAAATCATCTCCAACTCAACCTAGTACATACACTTGGAAATACTGACCAACAACGTACCTGTCCTTTTGGTTGTAACTCTCCTGACTCTTCTATTCATATTCTACATGACTGTGAAGAAGCTAAACAAAAATAGAGCACAAAAGAGAGAAGAGAAATTGGAGGAAAACAAGATAGAAAGGAACTTACAGTAGGGGCACAGAAGCAACACAGAAAAAACAAAGCATAGACATTACAACAAAAGAAAACAAAAGAAAAACAAAGCATAGAGGTTGCAGCAAAAAAAACGAGAGAAAAATAAAGCATGGAGGTTGCAGTAGAAAAAAAACTCGACTGCAAAGGAAAGAGAGAGTAAAGAGAAAAAAAGAGGAAGAAGAGAGCACGAAGTAGGGAAGAGACCGAGGAAGGAGAGATTCAAACTCAAAACTGAAGAAAATAAAGGAGCAGGAAGTACAGATGCAGCACGAAGAAGAAAGGAAAAGAAAAATAAGAGACCGAGAGTAGAAGAGAGCAAAAAAGAGAAAGGGGACGAGAGAAAAATGGAAAAGGAGAACTCCTAGAGGTGAGAACAAATGAAAGAAAAGAGGTTGGAGCTGAGATAGAGCACAAATGAGAATAGATACAGAAACATGTCGAAGGAGGTGAGTGAGCAGGGCCAAACCCACCATGGCAAAGACTATGTAGATACTCTACTGGCTCCTCTCCTCGATGTGGCCAAGCTCAAGTTTTGGTCTTTCTATAAGGCCCTCATCGCCGAGTTCATCGCCACCCTTCTCTTCCTCTACGTCACCATTGCCATTGTCATCGACCACAAAAAGTAGCCCAGCTCCTGCGACAGTATGGGCCTCTTAAGCATCGCTTGGGCCTTCAGTGGCATGATATTCATCCTCATTTACTACACTGCTAGTATCTCTAGTGGCCACATCGATGTGATTACGTTCGGGTTGTTCTTGGCTAGGAAGGTGTTGCTCATTCGAGCTTTGGCATATGTGGCAACTTAGTGCTTGGGAGCTATTTGCAGTACTGGGCTAGTCAAGGCATTCATGAAGCACTCGTATAACTCTCTTGGTGGTGGCCTAGCTGTGGACATGTTGCTTTGGAAGAATTAGTGCATAGGGGTTATGGTTCTGGTTTTGTCAACGGTAATATGGATGGAAATTAGGCAATAGTATTCTATAGAAGATTTTTATGCCTTCAAATAAGTTAAAGAAGATGGAGTAAGGTGCAAGTGGATCCTTACGTCTAGCTAGAGAGTGTAGAAATGGATGTTCAAGATATCAAGTATTACAAATTTTTCTTTTGCTGGGATGTTGTTGTTTATATTCAAGGCTAGATGGTGTGTTAGTTCTTCAAAAGTAAGAGTTGGCGAGTAGCTTTGTAATAGCAAAGAGCATTGATTCTCAGCCTGATCTCCGAAGGTTGCAGTCTAAATTGATGGTAAGATTTTTCTCTTAGATCTCTTTAGTCACAAAACTTGATAGTTGTTAATTTATTCCATAAACTCTTGAGTGTATTTTACTACAGATATCAGTAATCAGTATGTTTATAAATTAGTATTTCTAAATGCCAAAGTTGCTGGTTGTTTTATTATCTTCTTTATTTACTTGCATGCTTATTATGTCACCACAGGAAAGCAGCTCCAATTTTTTTAGATGAATTTTGAATTTTGTAATTGAAATCCAATAAAAATAAGAGAGTATATATTTGTTTGTTACTTTGTGAAATTTTAAGAATTTTTGTAGGCATTTAAAGTAATCTCATACCATGTAAATCAATAAGATTTTGCAAGTATGAAGATCTGACTTGTATATTTAAGATGGGTTCTAATGGCTCACCATTAAAGTTAATTCTCTTTTTATAATTTAAATCAATAAAATATTTAAATCTCATGTGAAATTTCAAGAAGCTTCATTGAGAATTAAATTAAGTGCGTTATCATGTGGGATAATAAATCATTGCAGATGTAATGATTATCAATTTAAATAAATAAATGAATTTTTGTAAATAAAATAATAAATGTTTTTATAATATTAATTAATTAAATTAATAAATTTAAATTATAATTATACTGTCTAATTAGATCTTTTAGTCATGTGAGATTGTTGAAACTCCGTAGACCTTTAGGATAATCGTACTACCGTGTGAGTCAATAAGGTTTCGCAAGTATAACGATTAAGATTTCTATATTTAAAAATATACGTTATATAATTATGCATTAAAATATATTTAAAGTAAATATTATTTAATTCTTTTATCGTGTGAGATTTTAAATCTTTGCAGATATTTAAGATAATCTCGTATCATGTCAATCAATAAGGTTTCATAGATATGAGAGTAAAACTTATATGTTAATATGGGTTCCAAAGGCCCATCATTAAAGTTAACTCTCTTTTTATAATTCAAATTAAAAATTTATTTAAGTTCTATATGAGATCTCAAGAATCTTCATATAGACTTAATTAATCACATCATCGTGTGGGATAATAAATCCTCGCAGATATAGTGATTTTGAATTTATACGATAAATAAATGATTTTTGTAAATAATGATATAATACACAATTTAGAAAAATTAATTAATCAAATTAATGTATTTAAATTATAATCGTATTTACCGATTATATCTTTTAATCATGTGAGATTTTTGAATCTCCGTAAATTTCTAAGATAATCATATTATCATATGAGTCAATAAGATTCTACAGATATAACGATTAAGTTTTTAAAATATATATATAAATTATATATTAAATTAATTAAATTAAAAATGTACTTAAGTGTATATTATTTAATCTTTTATCGTGTAAGATTTTAGAATCTCTGCAGATATTTAGGGTGATCATATTACCTTATAAGTTAATAAGGCTTTGCAGGTATGATGAGTAATATTTTTTGAAAAAGTCTATATGTACATACATACTTAAAAAATTATTATTAATATTTGAAAATATACATAATAATATAAATAAATAAATTAAGTTGCTAAATTATTTTATCGTGTAAGATTTTGAAATCTCCACAGATATATAAAATAATTATATTACCATATGTGCCAATAAGGCTCTATAAGTATTGCGATTAAATTTTCAATCATAAAATATAAAAATAAAAATAAAAATAATTTTTAAACTCTTTTCTTTTCTTTATTCCAAAAATTTAAAAATTGAGAAAATAATTAAAATTAAATCACTTTTTTTGTAATTTAAAACACTCATATCAAATTTCAGAAAATTATTTTATTTACAAAATGGTGAATTATTTCTAATTAATTTCTCTTAAAAAAATTTTCACCCACAACTTTTAAGCCCGAATTACGTGGACTTTGATCCCCATCACAGGGTACGTAGGCCTCAAAGTCAGACTCTGAGTCAAGTCCTCCCTCATAAATAAATAAATATTCTTCATTTTATTATTATCATTTTTTAAAACACGTGAATAAGAAAGGGATAATTAAAATAACTTTAAAACTATATTAATTTAGCACAACAAACTTCAAATAGCCATTCTCACGAACGGGTATTGTGAGGTGCCTAACACCTTCCCCATACTCAATTGACTCCCAAACCTATTTTCTGATTTCGCAGACCATCCTTATCCTCCTTTAATTGGTTTCCTAAGATTTCCCTCAAAATTTTGGTAGCGACTCTGTTCCATCTGGTTCTCACCCCAAAGGCCAGAACCTCTGCTCGTGTGCTGTTCGCGTCGCATTTTCTAGGTGCAGCATGCCTACTTGAGCTTCATTGTCACTTGATACTTTGTATTATTGATACACATACTTTAAGAGACTTTTATGTGTTTATATGTAGGGGCAAATAAGGAAGAAAAGATTATTAATGGCTAAACGAAAAAAACTAAAAGACAAATGACAAAGCAAAGAAGAACCTAGAGTAACACAAATGCAATAATTGATTGAAGAAGCTTCCAATGATCAAGAGCATATGCATTTCAGCCAAAGTTCCCTTTCTTCTCTTCATATGTGGCATTTATATGTTTTGCATAGGCCTTAATCCAGTGTGGGGCAATCTACAAGAAATACATGAACCTCAAAGTGACTTTCGCTCCAAGACTACTAACTTAGCTTGAATTGTGTCCAAGTTCATTGGCATTTCCTCTCAATTGAATATGTTATTCTTTTGAGATATTTTCATGCCTTCTATCACATGAAAGCAATCTTATTATGCTCCTTTGCACGACCACAACTTGTACAAATAAGTGGTCTTGCATTTCATTTAACACACTTGACTCATCAACATAGTTTTGATTGCCTATTCCCTCTCATTTTTCTCTCAAATTCCAGATTTCTTTCTTCAGCCTTTCTCTCCACTTTATTCCATTTTCTTTCTTTTTCCCTAGCCATATCCTTCATCTCAATCAAGTATTCAAGCTATGGAAGATGAAGCCGCATCTTGAATTTTTCTAAACCTTCCCTTTTGATTTAAATTGTTGTAGCTTCTTCTCTTCTTCTTCTTTGAATTGTTAATTCATGATTAATGACTGTACTTCTCTAGGATTTAGGTTTCACATTCATGGACAAAACTTATTAAATAAGAGATGATGTGATTTTGATTCTTGAACTAGTTATGCACTTCATGTGTTTGAGTTTATGACTCAATGATTTGATGAATGAATACATGTTTTACTTTCAATCTGTTGTTGAATGCCTTGTCATTAGCCACTGTTTGGGATTTAAACTTTGGTTAGTATCATAACATTGGTTAGTTTAAGTTCTTAAACATGATCAAAGCAAGAGCTAGGATTAGTCTTAAGAATTGAATCGCATATTGACGTACCTATTAGGTAGATTTGTGTGTTGTAACTCTAAGTAGCCACTAGGGTTCTAATTACTCATCGCCTAGTCTTTATGGTCATTGAGACACTATCACACACCAATTGAAGAAGGCAATTTAATCTCAAACAAGGTAAAGAGAAACAATGATAGAAGTGGTGAATTTATATTGGGAAGCTACCTTTTTAATGTTTGGTTGAACACTCACATTTCTTGTTTGCTTACTCATATAAGACCGACATCTTAAATCTAGTTTTCCTTCTTAAACTCTTAAACTCAAATATGAATCTTAACTTGTATTGGTCATTAAATTGAATTGATTGCTTTTGCTTGCTCCTTGTGGATGTGACCTAGGATGCCTCTATTAGTACATTCTAATTTCTTTAATAAGTTTGATACGAATTCTTAAAGAAGACAATTATTCGCAAATAAAGACTAACACGAAATGGTTTTTTCTTAAATGAGACTTGTTATTAATCCTTATCTGCAAATAATTTTCTTCCTTAGTCCTTGGATGTGATTCTCCCTATATATAATGTAATGAAAGTTAATTTTATTATACTTTTATTATTGATTAATTAATAAAACTATCTATTATTACATGTTTTGTTATGTTTGATTGGTTAATTTATCAACAATGATATTTTTTTTGGCTTGGAACAAGTAAAGATAGCTAAAAGTAGTTATTTTGATAATACTTTATTATTTAAAAAATAAATAAAATTGCCATATTGTATTGCTTTAATATAGTTTAAGAGGAGGGGTGTTCTTGAGATTTTATATTTATGTTTCCTTTTCTATTACATCCTTGAAACAAGTCCAACCATTTTCTTCACCAGACATTAACAATTTATTTAGTACCCAAAAAAGGTTTTAATTTTTCCACCACCTTTTTTCTTCTTTCCTCGCTTTTTCCTTCCTCCGTTACCAAACGGCCCTACCTCATCCACCAGGAATCTCTGCCTTGTATTGCCCCTGCCAACCTTTATTGCGGACATAGACTCAATTATTCTTAGACTAGAGACACACTTACGTTATCTTATCGATTGCTTATCTATGATATTTTAAAAAAAAGAAAAAAATAGAAAAGAAAAAAAAATTCAAAGACTTTTTGAGCTGCGTGTTGACTTAGAGGCACGGGGTTCCCCAGTGAAATTTCCTTACGCAACTACCAGTTGATAATTATATATGAAACACTCCTATAGTTTATATCAGAGACCCTCTAACATCTCATCACCTCTGAGTTTCTCTGAAACAGTTTGAGGATTCAAGATAACCCAAAACCAATCAAAATTGTATGTGAATTCTCAACTTTTCATTATTCCTTTTGCCTTGAGGATAACTCTTCTGCTTCTTACTATTTCTTTTGTCTGAAATTTTTGTTGTTCTTTCAATTTTGCAGATTTAGCTGCGGATTAGAGTTGGCATCATTCGTGGCCAGCTCTGACCTTCTCACTTCTTCATGTAAGCTTATCTCAGATCTAGATGTTGAAACCCATTCAGACCAGAATCTGTTCTGCAAAAAAGTTAGCAAAGAATCAGGTTTGACAATTATAGTGTTTCGGTCAACCCAAAATCATGTTCAATCTGATTTGCTTCTTTTTTCGATCGACATGGACGACAATCTCTTCAAATTTATCTGTTCCAGAACCAACCCCAACTTCTCTCTTAATCGGTCTGTATTTTCCCTGTTCAAGAAATACCGAACCCAGGTTGGTCAACTAAAATCTGAGGTACGGATTTCTTTGTCTCTTTTTATAACCTGAGATCCAAGAGGAGTTATTATGAGTATTTTTTTAAAAAAGCAATTTGACGTGCTTTTGTTTAAGCATATTGATTTGCTTGTTAGACGATTGAACTAGAACAAAATCGTTGTTCTGATTTGTTTTGCAGTTCCTCTTATATTTCTGTTTTAAGTTTGTGTACTAGAGGGGGAAAAAAAGGAAAACATATTTGTAAGTACTTATAATTTTACTTAATTTTCAATTAAGTCTTGCAGTTTATTTTATTTTAATGAAGCCCTTATAGTTTAATTAATTAAATTTTTTAATTCTTGAAAGTTAAAATCATTACAGTTTTCTTTAAAAAAACAAAATTAAAAGCTTTTATATTTTTATTAAATGATTATATGACTTCACAATTAATTACATAATTTTTATAATTCAAAATTTATATAATTAGGTTGTCTTTTAAATACTTTTTTTATACTTACAGAATTTTCATAACAAATATAATAAAAATATAAATAGTGGATTAAATAAAATTTTCTTTTTTCTATTTTGGCTAAAAGTATTAAATTAAATTTTCTGCAAATTCTAAGAGTATTTTTGTTTTGTAAAATTTAATAATTTCATTATTAATTTTAACCTTCAAGGGTCAATATATATAATAAATGAAACTATAAAAGTCTGATTAAAATAAAATAAGATATAGGGACTTAATTTAAAATTGAGTTAAATTGTAAGGCCTGCAATTATATTTTTCCAAAAAAAAAAGGCTGAACTAAGTAACATTCATTTAGTTAGGTCACTACTAGAAAAATAAAATTTAGCGAGGGACAATGCCATTTTTCCTAGTTCAATTGCATTTTAGCAAGAAATTTTGTCCTTCACTAAATTTGTAGCTAAAAAAGGCTTGCTAAATTTAGCGAAGAATTGTATTTTCCTCACTAATTAGTGAAAAATTTAGCAAGGGACTAAATTCCTCGCTAAAATTAGCTAGAGATTGAATCTATTGCTAATCCCTCGTTAATAATATTCAAAATTTAATAACTTTAGCGAAGGATTAGTCACTTGCTAATCCCTCGCTAAATATGTCTATATTTAAAAATAATAATGCCACATCACCCGCCATGTGTACATCAACTTGCGACGTGTCAACAACAATCTCATGCCTTGTCAACCGCCATGTCACCTATCATCTCATACCCCATCACCCTCCACATGTGTGACAACTCATGACATGTCATTGTTCACCTTGCGCCATGTCGCTTGCTTCTTATTATGTCATATATTCACTATGTTGATGCCAAAACCAAGACTTAAACCATTGACCTCAATACCTTCCAAACCTTATGTTCTCCTTCTTTACCAGTTGAACTAAAAAGTATCTGTAGTCATTATATGATAAATTAAATATACATTATTTAACTATATAAATATGTCAAATAATATACTATAAGAATACACACATATATACATATTAAATTTTATTTTTAACTATTAATATGTTAAAAATATTTATATTTTATTTAAATTATTCTTTATATTATATTTTTAATGAAATATTATTTTATTAATGAAAATCAACTAAAAATAAAGAAAATATTAAATAATTTATTATGAATATTTTAATTAATTTTGAAATAAAAATAATTAAATATATAATTAAAAGTTATTGTCAAATTTTTTTTGCAATAATTAATTAGGGACAAAATCCCTCGCTAAATATCTTATTTTAGAGAGGGATTGGCAGTTCCTCGCTATTTTTTCTCTAATTATCTTATTTTAGAGAGGAATTGGCAATCCCTTACTATTTTTCTCGCTAAGTTTAAATCAAGCTATGCAATCAATATCCCTTGCAAATTTCCTCACTAATTTAGTATTTTCGAGAGGAATAGACGATCATTTGCTAAATTTTCTCACTAATTTAAATTTTTCTAATAGTTGGTGTGGGAGCAGTGGTGGAGGAGATAAGGAAAGGGGGAGCCATTCTCTAATTTTTTTTTTTTGTAAAATGAAGAAGTTATATGAATTTTACCCCTGCAATATATTTGTTTACTAACAAAATTTAACTTTCCCACCAATTTTTAAATATACAATGATATTTGAAAAGAGAATAATTTCTTTTGCCCAAGAAAAAAGATACTAAGCATACATAAGATCTACTTTAGTGAGCATGCAATTAAGCTTTTTAAATTGAACACATTTTTGGATTTAAATCATTAAATGCTAAAAACATATGCAATCCCTTTTGAGAAATTTTACTCTTCAAATTTTTTTAACCAAAAAAAAAAATGATTGTGATATAAATTATAGCATTATGAGCTTGATATGTTCAAAGACCCTAATTTTCAAAACTTGACTAATATAAGTGAATTACGTCAAATTTTTGTGGAGGTTGAAAATTTTAATTCTTATTTACTGACGATTTCTTTCCACGAAAAATAAATGAGCAAGACTTAACTAACAAAAGTGCATATTTATTTTAGTTATATATTTATTATAAAATACAATATGAATATGTTGAAATATTTATGTATTAATAATTATATATATATATATATATATATTTAACCTTCAAAGCCTTCCTTAATTTAAAAATTCTTACCCCAAGCCTGTGTGGGATTTTGTTATATAACGCAGATCGATCTCAAAAAACCTGTAATTGTTACTGGGCATGCTATTGGAGGATCAATTCCTTCTCTTTTCACTTTATTGCTGTTAGAAGATGTGAAGCCAACAGCAGACAAGCGTCCACTCTGCATCACCTTTGGTTCTCCACTTCTTGGAGACCAAAACCTTCAACGAGCTTTATCGCGAAGTTCTTATTGGAACTCTTGCTTTCTACATGTGACCACTCTCCACGAACCATTTCTCTGCTCCTCAGTTTCTCACTACAGACCCTTTGGAATATCCATCTTCTGTTCTAATCATGCCTCTGCCTGTTTTGAAAGCCCTGATTTTATTCTGAAACTAAAGGATATGGTCCAACCGAATGAACAAGGATTGCAAATTCGTGATTATGGAAATATTGTCGAGAATCTCAATCGCAATGCAATTTGCAAAGTGTCTGATGTTCCCAACATCCCTCATTCTCATGAACTCTAGGCAATCCTCAGTTCGCAATTGTGGGCTCTGGGATTTCCACAATTCCAGCAGGTAACCCAACCCTTATTTCTAATCATTCTAAGGAAATATCACCCTTCTTTTTTTTGTGTGTGCAGGTATGAGAGACTTGAGCCAATGTGAGAAATCACATATAAGATATAGTTGAGTTTAATAATTAATACTTCTTCCAGTTTAAAATATAAATATTTTCTTCCAACTAATCTTGATTAAAAAAAAAGTAACTTAATATTGGACATTATTACAAAAATAGTTTATGGGAGCGCTCATTTTGGAGCGCTTAAATAAAAAGCGCTCTAAAAAATAGGTGCAAAGTTTTTCGGAGCGCTTAATCTATAAAGTGCTCTGAAGATTGAAACCTATAGGAGTGCTTTTTTTAAAGCGCTCCAATATCAATTAAAAAATATAATAAATCTATCAGAGCGCTTTTACTTAAAGCGCTCTTGTAGGATAAATTGTGAAAACAAAAAATAAAATATGCTATATTGAAGTGCTTAAACTAAAGCGCTCTTACATGAGGATTTATGGAAGCGCTTTCATATAAGCGCTCCTATAAGGTAGAGGGCATTTTGGAGTGCTTATATGAAAGGGCTCCAATGAATTAAAAAAATAAAAAAAATTAAATTAAAAAAGACCTTTCCGAGCGGTTTCTTCAGAAAGATAGAGATAGAAGCGCTCCTGTATGCCTTACTTAAAATAAAATAAAATTATTTTATATTATCAGATCGTGAACCTCCCCATTCGGCCATTCCCGTATCAGTTTCTATTTCAAACCCTAACCTTTCAATAACTCTTCCTTGCCATCAACCAACTGACCAGAGTCTTTAGTGCCGGTGCCCCTTTGTTCAGTTCCCACCGTCGCCGTCGAAGTTCATTCGTCCAGCTCGCTGTCAAGCGTCTGTCGAGTCACCTTCTAAAGTCTGTTGTTGCAGGCATCAATTCCTTCAAGTCCCCCTGTCCGTGTCCTATCAGTTTTCACGCATCCTGTCTTCGATCTGTGCTGCTGGAAGTACAATCTGCACTGTGGAAGTCTGATTTGCATAGATTTTAACCCAGTTCATGTCTCATGCTTCAGTCTGTACCACCAATGCCTGTTGCGTTAAGTTCGCCACCTCGCTTTTTGCTGAATCTCAGCTGTCGCTTGCTTCAGGTCTGAAGCTTCCCGTCGCGTGCTCCAACCTGATCGAGTTCACCACCTAACCACTTTCAACTCTTGCCTTCCTGCCTCTGTCCGTCCCTCAAGGTACATTTAATACTTCGAACATGATTAGCTCAAAAAAAATCTACAGTGTCATTCCTTGGCTATCGAGTAGAGGAATATCCTAGGTATATATTCGTTAATTGTTTTATTTCCAGAGCTATTTAGAGCGGCCTCTATCAAATCTTCGGATAATGCCTCTTTGGGATAATTTCATGGCTTACTAAGACCATCATTTGGAATTCTCCTTGTGCTCTAGATGTTTTTGTTCAATATATTATTGCCACTCTCCTTCATTTGGGAATCCAGACGTAAGGCTTTGGGTGAAATTTTTCTTTATTATTTCTATTTATCAAGAATAAAATAGTAGTTGGTAAAAAAAACGGAGAATAAAATAGTGCAAAAGTAAATAATAATTTATTGAAATTTTAGCTGGCAATATATCTGGATCCAAATGTTGTGAAAACTACATTTCATTACACAATAAAAAAGTGAAGCTAGTTTCCCAACAGGCCAACACATTGTTCAAAGAGGAGTTAGTACCTTTATGCTATCATCTAGTCACAATCACTTGAAATTCCTGTAAAATTTTTTTAGTAACTGGATCCTCATTACTAGTTGAATGTGTGAGCATGCATATATTAAGTTTAGTGCTTACTGATAAAATATGGTTATATTGTGGTTTCTAATTTATTTTGGCTAAGTTAGTGGGCAACTTAAGGGAGCTACCAATCAGTTTTTTGAATGCCTTGATGGAATACGGAGCTACCAATCAGCTTTAGGGAGCAGTGGAATGTGGAGCTGGAAATATTCTATGTTTAGCGCTATCACTGCTGCATCTACCGTGGCTTCTGGATCTTTGCATACTACATCTAGTACTTCATTTTGTTAATGTCTATAAGAATTAGTGAGCAACTTAAACCATGCACTTTACTCTTCAATGTCTTTCACATCATGCTCTGTTATTATTATCTACTTACAGTCCTATTTCGAAGACCCATTTTAATAACACATGTGAAGAACATAATTTGATGTTCTTGATTATAAATTCAAGGAAAAATAGGACCTAGTGGATTCAGATGAAGTGGATAACACACAGGTATTGTGTCATACGTATAAGGATAGGGTTTAAATAACGGCATTAATTGTGTCTTGAGCACTCCTAAGTCCTAACATGCCTTGTGATCCTACATCTTTTATGATTACTGCTTATCTTCTGGGCCACTTTGATGCTTATTACTTTTCTGAAACCAAACAGTCTTTGCCAACTCGAACTGTTTTATCTTTTACATTTGAAGGTGTGGTTTGAAAACAAGATTGGGCACTTGAAAAATGAAGTATAGGGGAGTTAATTTAATTAGGAAAAAAATATTTGGGCTAACTGGGATGTGGTAGAGATTTGTTAGGATACCAATGAGGTTGAAAAAGGGTGAAGCTTACATGTTTTTCAGTTAGGTACAAATTCATCAGAATATTGAAGGTGATCTGCAATTTTAGTTGATTAGTTTTGTTGATCTGCATGTCATATTTTTATTGAAGTTTTAAGCCTTTAACATTATTCCATTCTCTTGAGCATGGTGAAGTGGTATAGTAGCAGTAGAAGCATAAACGAAGGGTTGAAAAGGAGAAGCAAAGCGAAAAGAGAGAATCAGAGAAGAAAGGATTATGAAGTTGATCAATTCACTACGTTACGAATGTCATGGCATGCATTTACCCTATTAGACTAGTTGTCAGTTCTTGGTCGAACCTCAAATGAGGCGGTCTAGCTCAAAACACATCGCATGATAGTATCAATGACACATCTATCTATTTACATGTTTATAAAATCTTCTGAGTGTTATGATTTAGTTGCAATACTTTTATCAACGCATAAAACTCTGACCCTTTGATTGGTTTAAGCCTTTGATTGGTAGGATACTCTTTTGTCGCTGCCCAAATTAGCCTTGATTTGAATTTTGTGGCTGGAATTGTTGGTGATGAATTTTTGAAGATATGAGGTTTGGAGGCAGACGAGAATAGCCTTGGTGTTTTTAGTGATGATTCATTTGATTTTTGTTTGAAAGCATAGCTGTTCAATCCTTGAGGAGTCTAATGGTTCAAAATCTCATTAGTTTGTCTACGTACGATTGTTATATATTAAAAAAAGTTGGAGTATTATTGCTTTTTTATTGCTACATCTTTTTAAGTTTTAAGTAGGTGAATAACTCAATTTAAAGAGAAAATCCAATTATTTGTGATCAATGGAGCATAGAGGAAGATTTCCCTCCCAGTTATTAGTTTTTTATGAGAAAAATTATGGCAACTCCTCATTGTTCCAAAGTTACAAATTTGTTTAAAATTACCATTTTTATTCATTACTTGTTTCCAAATTACCCTTGTTGTTTCCTATTTTTATTGGACTTTTGTGATGTAAACTTCTGTTTTGTTTATTTTTGCAGGTTGGCTGGCATTGTTGATGGTGGCAATTTTTTTTTAAATAATCTTTTTTTTTTAAATCTAATGTTCAAAAGATTGTGGTTCTTGAATCCACAAAAATATTGTATTTTTTAATTTTAAATGGAAATATATTTTTTATTATTTTCCTACTTTAGATTATTGTACATTAATTTATGAAGCTTGAAGCTTGTAGTAATGAAAAATGAAAATAATTTTTTAAAAAAAAAATTAATGAGGCTATGGGAGCACTTTTATTTATAATGCTCCTATAGGATGCCTATGTGAGTGCTTTTGATTATAAGCGCTCCCATAGGTATCATATAGGAGCATTTATATATAAAGTGCTCCTGTAAGAGGAGTATTAAAGAAAACATACAAGAGCGCTTTTCTGAGCAAAGCGCTCCCATAGGACACCTCTTATAGAAGCGCTCCCTTACATACAGGAGTGATGGCTATGGGGGCACTTAAAAAGCGCTCCCGTAGGTTAAAAATAAGCGCTTTGAAAAGCATTTTTTGTATTAGTGGGAGGAAAAAAAATCATATTTTATCCTTTGTATTTATTAACTTGAATTCTCGTATTTGTGAATTTAGGATCTTTTTCTCACTTCTCATAAATTGAAACTACAGATAAAAAAAGGGAAACAATATATATTTTTATGAAAATAAAAATTTTCTTGACATGTGGATTATTGTTAAAAGGTGATTATAATTTGGAGAAGAGGGAATAAAAAATAAAGGACAAGGAGTCATAAATTTAAGTAGTCTTGGATTAAGATTTGGCTCCCCATCATTCCTCAAACTGAATGAGGATTCAATCTAACCTAATTTTTGAAATTCCTGTCAGGAGAATTTGGTGAAAGAACTGCATAAACAGGAAATGCTATTGATTAAGAAGAGTCAACGGTTTAAACCGAACAAGAAGCTGAATGACATGAAAAGAAATATGGCTGAGTTGGGATGGTACAAGAAGCACACAAAGAATGAGAGAAATGGGTACTATGAAAGTTACAAGGATGGATTTTTCCCTCGTGACCAGGACGCTATCATGCTCATAAAAGTACTTAACGATTATTGGGAAGATATGGTGCAAGAGGCAGAGAAACAACCCCAGAAAGAAGGTGAGAATTTTCGCACCAAATGGCTATATGGTGGGACTAATTACAGGAGAATGGTGGAACCATTAGACATTGCTCGGTACTACAAGGAGGGAAAAAGAGACTACATAAAACAAGGAAGATCTGAGCATTATAAACAGCTAGAGAACCGGTTGGAATGTGAGCCGCGGAGACAACCTGAGTCAATAAGTGGGACAAATATAGGATCTATATTAACCTTGGATTCTTGCTTTTGGGCACGTGTGGAAAAAGTGGTTGTTTTAACTCAAAACCTTAAGGTTATAGGAGATCAATCCAGTGAGGCAGAGAAGCGAGAGGCGATGAATAGTTTGGATGAGTTTGAGAAGCATGTTTATGGGTCGCTAAAGAAGTATGCAGTTTCACCAGAGATTTTCTTGGCTGGAAGTAGCTTCGTGCGTTGGTGGGAGTAACTATAGAATCAAGGGAGCTTCACATGACTCTGAAGTTGTCAGCTTCATGAAGAATCCAGCCAATTATAAGAAGTATGAGGAGGGTGCTTACGATTTCCCGTGAGAAAATAGGCCTTCTGAATTGATCATTCTACGCAAGATTTGAGTACGTTAGGATCTCATCACTTCATTCCGCTTTCAATTTGTGTTCTATTTCTTCAAGTGGTTTTTGCTTATCTTTTCTATTTTGAATGGATGCTCATAAATTATTGTGTCTTTTAACAGAATTTAAGTATGATTTCAACTGGAACTGTGCTTTTGGGGAAAATATCATCTAAGAACCCTGGAGAGTTCTTATAAGAAAAATTAAGAAACCTTAAAAATTTAAAATTTCACTACATCCCTGTACCTATCTAATAATAAGATTTTTTGAGAAAAAAATTTAATTACCCCTAAGATTTTATGAATGCATAAGCATGTAACCTTTTAAGTTTTGACAAGTAACCACATATAATAAACAACAACTCATCCCAAAATAAACAAGTTGCAAAAACATGGCACATGTTTAATTGTACAAATGTCATTCTTACGTAAAGAAGTATTCATTCAAGTTTTTAGCAAATAATTTTATATAATTAACAATAATTCATTCAAAATTAATAAGTGACTATAACTAATAGTGTATGTTTAATTGTATAAATGTTAGTCTTGCACAAACAAGCATTTGTTCGTATTTTGACAATTAACCATACAAAATTAATAACAAGCCATTTAGGATTAACAATTAACTATATAACTAATAACATATTTAGCTCTATGAGTGTTAGTCTTATTTAGACAGGTATTCATTCTCATTTTGACAACTAATCATACAAAATTAATAGCAATCCATTACATGTTTAAATTTTATTAAAAATTAGGCATAATTGTATCTTTTCTCACAAAATTTTATTTTCAAATAGATACTAAGGGAATACAATTAAATTTCATATTTTTAAACTCATTTTTTTTATATAAAAACTCTGCAGGGTTCTTTAGATTATATTTTCCTTTTTTTAATGGATATCTTGATTTGGAGACTCTGAAAATGGATATTCTCATTGTCACCTTTATCATGCTCATAATCATATAAATCACCAATTTAAGGTACTAAAAATCAAACCGATCATTGAACCGATCGAAATTAAGAGTTAAGGGTTCAATTAAGATCGAATAAAAATCAGATTGATCATAATAAAATAATATAATATAAAATTTTTGCATAAAAATACAACTTTGTCTTACAGGAGAAAAGAAAAATATAATATATATATATATATATATATATCATAGGAAAACAAAAAAGTAGAAAGTAAAGGCACGTAGCTCCATGTCTACTCAAGTCAAGTTACTCTTCTTTCATTTTCAAAACACTGCAACACTAAAAGTTCTTTTCTCCCTCTTCTTCTGCTTTCAGGTTTAGTTTCATCTCTCCTATTTTTACATTTTCTTTTTTAGGCAAGTGAAAAGAATATGAACTCAGAAGCCATAAGGAAGGAGGAACTAAGAAGAGGAAGAAAGATGATGACAGAGGATGCGAGTGAACAAATGGACAACAGATGAGTTGAAGCTGCACGATCGAGAGTCAAGACCCATAAAGGTTGAAGCTTCAAGACGATGACTAACAAAGTAACTACTTGAAGCTTATTGCTCAAGGATGACTGAGGACAACGAGACAAGGATGACGGAAAACAAATTTATTACTCGTTGGGACTTCTACCCCTTTTTATATATTTTTTGGCCCTAAAGTGATTTTTTTTTAAAAAAATTCCAACCCCAAAATGACGTCATTTTGGGGTCAGAATTTAAAAAAAAAAATTGAACCCATCCGCCCACTTAACTTGCAGGGTTGGGCAAATTGATCCCGGATCACCTAAGTTAACCCAAGTCAATTGAGGCCATCTTGAAATAGAAAACTAGATTAGATGAATGGCCAGTCTGATCAACTGGTCTGGTCTAGTTTTAACAACAATGCACCAATCACATCCCCCAGCAAAGAAGCAATTGAATGCATGTGTGATGTAAAACATACATTAAAAAAAAGGTTCTTGCCTCTTTCTTTGATGAAAATGTTCCCTTGCAGTTGCCAAGCCCTACCGATAATAACCTTGAGCTCTTTGCATGTAATTTTCTGCTGGGCTTGTAATTCCTTCTGTTGATCCTCCATGTACTATGGCCCTAAAGAGATAACTAGCCCTTGTCAAGGAAGTCAAAAATTTGATCAAAAACTCTCCTGAATTAAATCACTACTTTCTTCCCAGATGAACTTCATGCTACAAAAATGATGATCCACCATTGTCGAGACCCAAAAAGCACACTAAGCTTTGATTTTTTGGAAGAGAAACACAAAAAGCAGTAAACTTTCCATAAAAGAACAAAGTTTAGCAAATATGAATGATAGAAGATGAAGAGGTTGAAAGACTCCCAAAAGGTTCAAACAGAGACGATCAACGCTCAAGAGTTTGAAGATAGAGAATAAAGAAACATTCCACTAACAAGCTAGCTTTTCGATTAGAATAATATATGAATGAATATTATAATATCAATTGAGATTATTCTAATGAAGTTGATTTTTTTACCAAGTGTAATTAGAAAACTATAAATTGATTTGGCTTATAAAGTAAAGTTGAAAAGCCTTAAGTCGTGTCAAGTAGCAAGTATCTTAGGTCATTCTATCCTTAAGGAGCATACATTTGTAACTAAATCAAATCAATGATCATTGACAAATTAAATTCTAGGATTGAATCAAAGAGTATAGTAGAGAAAAGTTGCTTATATTTTGGTTTTAATGCAAAACAAACAAAGAGAAAACATATAGAAATCAACCAAGTATTCAAGGTAGCTTTCCAAGGTTAGATCCCACCATTTTCATCCTTGTTCTTCCTTACCTTGATTTGAATTCAATTGTACTCTTCAATTGATGTGTGAAGATGTCTTAATTACCATTAAGATCATGTGTTAGTGATTAGAACAATATACAAACACCTTAAAAGCTACACCAATTTGTGATTTAAGTCTCAATACTAGTCCTAGCTCTTCCCTTGATCATGTTTAATTACTTTAAACCAATAAAGATCATGTTATTAACTATAGTTTAAGACCTAAACCAAGTCAATATTCACGGTCAAATATAACAAGAATTAAAGCGTAAACACAAACAGTTAGAATGCATGATTAGTATAAGAATAAAATATATATTGAAATATCTCCCTTATCTAATCACAGTTAACTCTAAAATCTAAGGTAATTAAAGGTCTAACCCCAATAAGGATTATTAAGTTTGTAATTTAAAATGATGGGATCACAGGTTTTCATAGTTTAAAAAAAAATCAAAACTATTTATTAAACTTTCTATCAGAGTAACATAATATTTTTGGGAGCATGGGATACCTCAGAAAAATAAAAAGATTAAAAACATTTTGAAAAATCTCTAAGTTTGAAAAACAAAGCAATGCGCCACGGTATGTGCACATGCGTCGCAGCGGCTCCTTCTTTGTGCCAGTGTCACAACTAGATGCCATGCACCATGGCGTGTTGCATGATATCAGACAACATATTTGCTGTCATTTGACAGCAATTTTGAACAACTTTTGACGTGCCCCATTTCTCTATCTATCGTTCAAATAAGATGATTTAGGTGTTTATGAAAAGCTCTTTTCGTAAACTAGCTAATGGCGTGAGTTTTATTTTTAAATTAAGTCACACAACAAATTTAGATACCCAAACTCATTTTCATAACTAAAGAGTGTCCAAAACCCATATATATGCCAATGGCCATTTCTAACACCTAGACCATACTCATTAAATCTACGACTACCTGAACAACACACCACACACATATATAAATCACCATATCAAATTTTTACCCTTCAACCCTTTAATGCCAAAAGTAGAAGGAGGAAGTTTTAGCATTACATTTCAACGACAGCATTTACAGTTGTAATCAAGTGAACATCCGTACACCTGTATTAATTTAGCCTTATAATACACTTGAGCAACATACAAACAATAACTCAGCACTCAAAATGCATTCTAAAAATCATAAACATCAAAAGTGCAAATGTATGATACTTGAGCTTCATTGTGCCTAATGCGTACTTGAGCTTCATTGGTCACTTGATACTTTGTATTATTGATACACATACGTTAAGAGACTTTTATGTGTTTATATATAGGGGCAAATAAGAAGAAAATATGATTAATGACCAAAAGAAACAAACTACAAGACAAATGACAAAGCAAAGAAGAACCTAGAATAACACAAGTGCAACAATTGATTGAAGAAGCTTCCAATGATCAAGAGCATATGCATTTCAGCCAAAATTCCCTTTCTTCTCTTCATGCGTGGCATTTAGATGTTTTGTATAGGCCCTAATCTAGTATAGAGCAATCTAGAATATATACATGAACCTTAAAGTGACTTTCACTCCATGACTACTAAATTAGCTTGAATTGTGTCCAAGTTCATTGGCATTTCCTCTCAACTAAATATGTTATTCTTTTGAGATATTTTCATGTCTTTTATCACATGAAACCAATCCTATTATTCTCCTTTACACCACCACAACTTGTACAAATAAGTGGTCTTGCATTTCATTTAACACACTTGACTCATTTACATAGTTTTGATCGCCTATTCCCTCTCATTTTTCTCTCAAATTTCAGATTTTGTTCTTTAGCTTTTCTCTCCACTTTCTTCCATTTTCTTTCTTTTCCCTAGCCATATCCTTCATCTCAATCAAGTATTCAAGCCATGGAAGATGAAGCCACATCTTGAATTTTTCTAAACCTGCCCTTTTGATTTAAATTGTTGTAGCTTCTTCTCTTCTTCTTCTTTGAATTCTTAATTCATGATTAATGACTGTACGTCTCTAGGATTTAGGTTTTACATTCATGGCCAAAACTCATTAAAGAAGAGATGATGTGATTTTGATTCTTGAACTAGTTATACACTTCATATGTTTGTGTTTATGACTCAATAATTTGATGAATGAATACATGTTTTATTTTCAATCCCTTGTTGAATGCCATGTCATTAGCCACAATTTAGGATTTAAATTACTTTGGTTAGTATCATAATATTGGTTGGTTTAAGGTCTTAAACATGATTACAAGAGCTAAGACTAGTCTTAAAAATTGAATCACATATTAGCGTACTTATTATGGAGATTTGTGTGTTGTAACTCTAAGTAGTCACTAGGTTTCAAATCACTCATGACCTAGTCTTTATGGTCATTGAGACACTATCACACACCAATTGAAGAAGACAATTTAATTTCAAACAAGGCAAAGAGAAACAATGATAGAAGTGGTGGATTTATATTGGGAAGCTACCTTTTTAATGCTTGGTTGAACACTCACATTTCTTGTTTGCTTACTGATATAAGGCTGACATCTTAAATTTAGTTTTCCTTCTTAAACTCTTAAACTCAAATATGAATCTTAACTTGTATTAGTCATTGAATTGAATTGGTTGCATTTGCTTGCTCCTTGTGGATATATGACTTAGAGTGCTTATATTACTACATTATAGTTTCTTTTGATAAGTTTGATGCCACTTCTCAAAGAAGACAGTTATTCACAAACAAAGACAAAAATGAAATAGTTTTTTCGTGAATGGGACTTGTTATTAGTCCTTATTTATGAATAATTTTTTTTCTTTAGTCCTTGGATTTGATTCTCCTTATATATAATGTAATGAAAGTTAATTTTATTATACTTTTTATTATTGATTAATTAATAAAACTATCAATTATTACATGGTTTATTATATTTGATTAATTTATCAACAATGATAATTTATTTTGGCTTGAAACAAATAAAGATAGCTAAAACTAGTTATTTTGATAATACTTTATTATTTAAAAAAATAAAACTGCCATATTGTATTGCTTTAATATATTTTAAAAGGAGGGGTATTCTTGAGATTTTATATTTATGTTTCCTTTTCCTTGACATCCTTGACACAAGTCCAACCATTTTTCTCCACCAGACATTTACAATTTATTTACTACCCAAAAAAGTTTTTAAATTTTTCCACCATCTCTCTACTTCTTTCCTCGTCTTTTCCTTCCTCCGTTACCAACGGCCCAACCTCATCCACCAGGAATCCCCTGCCGACCTTTAACGCGGACATAGACTCATTAGGGGTGTTCAGTCTAGATCCGTCCTGATTGGCCCGGTATCGTTCCGATCATATCGGGACGGGTCTTGTCCCAGCCCGAAAATAATCGGGACGGGATTTTACGGGACGGGACAGGAAAGGGTTTCGGGACGGGACGGGACACAGGATTACCATCGAGACGTCCCGTCCCGTCCCGAATATTATATATATTATTTTTTATTTTAAATATATTAATTATATTAATATAATTTATACTTATATTAATTATATCAATTATAATTTTAATACTTGCAATTCTTATTTAAAACTAAATTTTTTTTATATTAATAATTTTAATGGCATGGAGTAAATATGGCAATATCTTTCTTTATAATATATTAATTATATTAATATAATTTATTCTTATATCTATCTATTTAATAACCTTTATTTATAACATATTTCTTGCTTATTTTTAGAAGAGTAATTAGCTTAGTACGTCTTCATTAAAGTAGAAAAATAATGATTTGATGTTGTGTTTCACTTGCCTGTTGTTGTTAATCTTATAACATAAAGATCACTTGTATTTGTTATTATAATATGTAGTTATGATTAATATAATTCAATAATTAATTTTAAATTATTGTTATTTATGTGCTTGTGTTGTTTTGATTTTAAACTTAATAAATTATATGATTTAAAATTTTAATGAACGTTATTATCAAAATCTTTTTTTGATATTATTCTATTTATCGGGACGGCGGGACGTCCCGATCTTGTCCCGGTCCTGTCCCGACTCTTAACGGGACGGGACGACTTTCGGGACGGGACACGGGACGGGGGTGTTCCGGTTCCGTTCCGTCCCGTGAACATTCCTAAGACTCATAATTGTTCCCAGACGAGAGACGTACGGTAACGTTATCCATGATTTTAAAAAAAAATAAAAAAGAAAAAAATTCAAAGACTTTTTGAGCCGCGTGTTGACTTAGAGGCACGGGATTCCCCCAATGAATTTCCTATGTAACTACCAGTTGATAATTATATATGAAATACTCCTATAATTTATATCAGATACCCTCTAACATCTCACCACCGCTTGAGTTTCTCTTGAACACTTTGAGGATTCAAGATGACCCAGAACCAATCAAAATTGTATGTGAATTCTCAACTTTTTATTATTCCTTTTACCTTAAGGATAACTCTTCTGCTTCTTTCTATTTCTTTGTCTGAAATGCTCTGCTTGTTCTTTCGATTGCAGATTTAGTAGTGGATTAGAGTTGGCATCTTTCGTGGCCAGCTCTGACCTCCTCACTTCTTCATGTAAGCTTGTCTCAGACCTGTACGCAGAAAAACCATTCAGGCCAGAATCTCTTCCGCAAAAAAGTTAGCAAAGAATCAAGTTTGACAATTATAGCGTTTGGGACAACCCAAAATCATGTTCAATCCGATTTGCTTCCTTTATCCATCAACATGAACGACAATCCCTTCAAATTTATCTGTCCCAATTTCTCTCTCAATCGGTTTGCATTTTCCCTGTTCAATGAATACTGAACCCAGCTTGATCAACTAAAATCGCAGGTACGTACTTCTTTGTCTCTTTTATAACCTGTAGATCCAAGAGGAGTTATTATGAGTTTTTTTTTAATATAAACAATTTGACGTCCTTTTTGTTTAAGCATATTGATTTGCCTGTTAGACAATTGAACTAGAGCAAAATCGTTGCTCTGATTTATTTTGTAGTTCCTCTTATATTTTTAATTCCTTGGGCCTTTTATGTACTTTTAATAAAATTGACTTTTGTTAAAAAAAAAAAGAACTAGAGAATAAAAAAGAAACAAAACAAAACGGCTGAACCAAGTGACATTCACGTAGTTAGGTGTGGGCTCAGTGGTGGAGACAACGAAAGGGGGAGCCACTCTCTAACTTTTTTAATTGTTTTTTCCTCTGTAAAATGAAGAGGTTATATGATTTTTACCCGTAAAACTAGATTTTATACCTGTGCACGGAATATTAATCCCGAATTTGTATATTTATCCTTAGATTTTACATAAGCCCACTTCTCAGTTTTTTTAAAAAAATTGATTTCATTAAAATCTCCCATCTCTTTCATTTTTTTCAAAATAAGCATACCATAAAAACTAATTAAGTTAAATATTGAGTAAATATTAATTTGATTATTTTATCATGTATTTGTGTCAAAAAAATAGAATTGTACAAGTATATTTTTCCATATATAAGTAATTTTGTAATTTAATTATAAAGAATTATATTTTTTATGGGTTAAATGATAAAATGGCCCTTTAATTATAAATTAGGAACATTTAGGACCATGTATTTGTTTTTGGTGCAATATTATCCTTACAATCAACAAATATTAACTTTGGCTTTTAACAGACTGAAAAATTATAGAAAAAGATTAAGAAAATTTCCTTGATCTTTTTTATAAATTTTTTGAGTCTTGTTTATAATTTCTGAATCTTTTTCTATAATTTTGATTTTATTTTTTAAATATGTTATCGGTTCCTTTTTTTTTCTTTGTTTCTAATTATATTTTGATTTTGGTTGAACTATTTTCTCATCTGATTCTAATTTTAATTGATCTAACCTAATTCCTTTATTGTTACTATTTATTTTTTTTCTTTTCTTTTTCTTTTTCTTTTTATTTTTTTGTTTCTACCACTTTATTTTTAATTTTACTTCAAATTATTTATTTTTTTCTTGAAATTGTTTATGCGGCTTTCCTTTTAACATATTTTGTTTTACTTTAGAATCTTTTATAATCACACATATTAAAAATATAAATAATATATTTCATTACAAAGTCTTTCGCCTTATATGATTTTAAATCTAGTCTAAATCATTACCCTATACAGGTAATTATGGATCAAAAAATTAGTATCTGAATTTTAAATTTCGTAAATGAAAAACTGTCAACATAAAATTATAAAATTTAGAAATAAAAAAGTTAAATTTAAACCAATATAAGTTTGAAAAATTATTGTAAATCGCATTATTTATTATTTAATACGTTATAAAAATTTGATTTTTTTTTACCAACAATAATTCAAATACTATATGATATTTGATGATGACGGCACAAGGGCACACAGACCATATTGTTGTAGCCATTTATTTTAATCCAACGGTCATATGTATTTAACAATATATAAAATTTTTACTTTCTACCCTCTTCGCCTCTTCTACACCCCTTTTTTAAACTTATTATCGCCTTTGCCTCTTTCTCTCCCTTTCTCATTCTCAATGCAACAGTAGCAGGTGCAGCCTTCTCAGTCTCACAATCTCTCTTCGTTCCACCGTTCCTCGCAATCTCTCAAAATTCCCCACCTTGGATTTCTCTGCTCAAAGTTCCTTTGACCACTGATCATCTCATAAAGACTTGGGCTCCATCCGTCTCTGTTATCTCTCTTCCTCTTCTCATTCACTTTGACCGTCGCTATCTCTCCGAAGATGGCGCCTCAGATTTGCCCATTAAACTCCATCGTGCCCTCATATATGCTCTTGAACTTCCACTGCACCAGATCTGCTCTGTGACCGTTGTCATGTTTTTGTTAACAGTGAAATAGCCAATATAGTTGGTATTGGGTTATTTGCACTTCTCTTTAGATAATATTTTTTCCTCATCATCTTTTGTACACCTATAAGATTATATTGTGGAATTTTTGATTTTTGATTTTTTTTATTTGAAATGCTACAATTTTCGTTTTATATTTTCATTTGTGTAAAAATACTTCTAATCTTATTTTTGAAATCTATCATTTGTTTCTTTCTTTTTCCCGCTCTTTGTTTCTGATTGTATTTCGATGTGGGTTAATCTACTTTTCTTATTCAGGACAAAAAAAATCTATTGATTCTGATTTGATTTTTTACATTTTTCTTTCTTTTTTCTTAAATCATTTTTATTTAATTTTTGTAAAAAAAAATACTTGCTGTTGATTTTGAAATATGTTATCTATTCCCTTTTTTCTCTTTGTTTCTGATTGCATTTTGATTTTGGTTGATCTATTTTTTTTATTCGATTCTAATTTGATTGATTTTGATTTATCTAATGTAAGATTTGCTTTTATTCTTTTCTTTTACTTTCTCTTAATTTTCAATTTTTTATTTTTTGAAATTATTTGTAAAATTGCCACTTACCAAGGAAACAAGAGGAAACACATTGTTCAAAGAGGTGTTCATCTACAGTGACCTCCGATACACTTTACAATATAAGAATATAAGATCATGTTAATCCATTTTTGTTTTTTATTTTCATTCCTGATTGTTTAACGTTAATTTCTTTTGTTTTGGTTCTGATTCTTTGTGATGATTCTGAGTCGTGATGCTATATTTAATCATCGTCTATGAATTTTTTAAACTGATTCCTTCAAAAAACTATACATCTACAGTAACAGGCAATACACTTTACAATATAAGATGATCTATGTGTTTGGTAACAAAAATTTAACGTTCCCAATTATTAAATATACAATGATATTTGGAAAGAGAATAATTGTTTGCCCAAGAAAAGAGATACTAAACATACGTACGTAAGATCTATTTTAGTGCGCAAGCAACAAAGCTTTTTAAATTGAACACATTTTTGTATTTAAATCATTAAATGCTACAAACATATGCAATCCCTGCTTGAGAAATTTTATTCTTCAATTTTTTCCAACCAAGGAAAACTATGATTTTAATATAAATTATAGCAATATGAACTTGATATGTCCAAGGAACCTAATTTTTAAAAACTTGACTAATATAAGTGAATTATGTCAAATTTTTGTAGAGGCTGAAAAGTCTAATTCTTATTTATTGACGAATTTTTTCCCACAAAAAATGAATGAGCAAGATTTTACAAACAAAAATGCATATTTATCTTAGTTATATATTTATTATAAAATTCAATATGAATATGTTAAAATATTTATATATTAATAATTATATATATATATATATATATATAAACTTTCTGACAATTATCGTATACTCCCTCCGGTCCTATTTATAAGTCATTTCTACCAACCTCATCAATACCAATACAATAAAAGTACAAGGAATAAAAGTAAGTAAAATTTCAAACATGCCCCTATATAACAAATCTAAAAAGTAATGTCCTGTTACTTTTTCTCTCTCATGAAGGGTAATTTTGAAAATACCTCTCAAATATTACCTAAAAAGACGCACCGTGACTTATAAATGGGACCAAATACACCTTCTAGAATTGGACTTATAAATGGGACCGGAGGGAGTATGCTTTGCAATTGGCCTTCCTTAATTAAACATTCTTGCCCCACCCCTGTGTGGGATTTTGTTATATAACGCAGATCGATCTCAAAAAACCTGTAATTGTTACTGGGCATGCTATTGGTGGATCAATTGCTTCTCTTTTCACTTTATTGCTGTTAGAAGATGTGAGGCTAGCAGCAGACAAGCGTCCACTCTGTATCACCTTTGGTTCTCCACTTCTTGGAGACCAAAACCTTCAACAAGCTTTATCGCGAAGTTCTTATTGGAACTCTTGCTCTCTACATGTGACCACTCTCCACGACCCATTTCTCTCCTGCTCAATTTCTCACTACAGACCCTTTGGAATATTCATCTTGTGTTCTAATCATGGCTCTGCCTGTTTTGAAAGCCCTGATTCTATTCTGAAACTAAAGGATATGGTTCAACCAAATCAACAAGGATTGCAAATTCATGATTATGAAAATATTGTCGAGAATCTTAATCGCAATGCAATTTGCGAAGTGTCTAATGTTCCCAACATCTCTCATTCTAATGAACTCCAGGCAAGCCTCAATTTGCAGTTATGGGCTCTCGGATTTTCACAATTCTAGCAGGTAAGTCAACCCGTATTTCTAATCCTTCTAAATAAATATCACTTTTTTTTTTATTGTGCATGTATGAGAAACTTGAGGCAACATGAGAAGTCTCATATCAGATAAAGTTGAGTTTAATAATTAATACTCTCTCTAATCTAAAATATAAATATTTTCTTCCAACTAAGAAAAAAGCAACTTAATATTTGAAAAAAATCATATTTTATCTTTTGTATTTATTAACTTGAATTCTCATGTTTGTAAATTTAGAATCTTCTTCTCATTTATCATAAATTGAAACTAAAGATAAAAAAGGAAAAATAATATATGTTTTTATGAAAATAAGAATTTTATTAGTATGCAAATTATTGTTAAAAGGTGATTATAATTTGGACAAGATGGAATAAAAAATAAAGGACAAGGACTCATAAATTTAAGTAGTCTTGGGTCAAGATTTGGCTCCCCATCATTCTTCAAACTAAATGAGGATTCAATCTAACGTGGTTGTTGAAATTCCTGTGTCAGGAGAATTTGGTGAAAGAACTGCATAAACAAGAAATGCTATTGATTAAGAAGAAGAGTCAACAGTTTAACCCGGACAAGAAGTTGAATGATATGAAAACAAATATGGCTGGGTTGGAATGGTACAAGAAGCGCACAAAGAATGAGAGAAAGGGGTACTATGATAGTTACAAGGATGGGTTATTCCCTCGTGACCAGGACGCTATCATGCTCATAAAAGTACTTAACGATTATTGGGAAGATATGGTGCAAGGGGCGGAGAAACAACCCCAGAAAGAAGGTAAGAAATTTTGTACCAAATGGCTATATGGTGGGACTAATTACAGGAGAATGGTGGAACCATTAGACATTGCTCAGTACTACAAGGAGGGAAAAAGGGACTACATCAAACAAGGAAGATCTGAGCGTTATAAATAGCTAGAGAAGTGGTTGGAATATGATCCGCGGAGACAACCTGGGTCAATAAGTGGGACAAATATAGGATCTATATTAACGTTGGATTCTTGCTCTTGGGCACATGTGGAAGAAGCAGTTATTTTAACTCAAAATCTCAAGACTACAGGAGATCAACTTGGTGAGGCAGAGAGGCGAGAGGCAGTGAATAGTTTGGATGAGTTTGAGAACTATGTTTATGGGTCACTAAAGAAGCATGCAGTTTCATCAGAGATTTTCTTGACTGAAAGTAGCTTCATGTGTTAGTGGAGCGAGTACATCGAAATCAAGGGAGCTTCATCACATGACTCTAAACTTGCCAGCTTCATGAAGAATCAAGCCAATTATAAGAAGTGTGAGGAGGGTGCTTGTGATTTCCCTTGAGAAAATAGGCTTTTAGAATTGATCATTCAACGCAGGACTTGAGTACATTAGGATTTCATCCGCTTTCAATTTATGTTCTATTTCTTAAGGTGGTTTTTTGCACTTTAACTTCTCTATTTTGAATGGATGCTTATAAATCGTATCTTTTAGAAACATTTAAGTATGACTTCAAATAGAATTGTGTTTTTTAGGATTCACCAAAAACAAAAAACAAAAAGAAAAAGAAAGAATTGTGTTTGTCAAGAAAAATATCATCCAAGAACCATGGAGGTTTTTATATGAAAAATTAAAAGATCTTAAAAATTTGAAATTTCAATGCGTCCCTCATTACCTATTTCAAAATAAGATTTTGTGAGAAAAAACTTAATTACCCTTAAGATTTTATGAATGCATAAACATGTAACCTTTTAAGTTTTTGACAAGTAACTATACATAAAAAAACAACTCCTCATTCCAAAATGAACAAGTTACAAAAACATGGCACATGTTTAATTGGACAAGTGTCATTCCTACATAAATAAGTATTTATTCAGGTTTTAGCAAATAATTTTATATAATTAACAATAATCCATTCAAAATTAACAGATGACTACAACTAATAGTATAAGTTTAATTGTACAAGTATTAATCTTACATAAACAAGCATCTGTTCAAATTTTGACAATTAATAACAACTCATTCAAAATTACCAATTGACTATATAACTAATAACATATTTAATTCTACAAGGGTTGGTCCTATTTAAATAAATATTCATTCGGATTTTGACAATTAACTATATATAATTAACATCAATTCATTTTTTTAAAACTTTACTAAATTTTAGGGATATTTATGTCTTTTCTTAAAAAATCTTATTTTCAAATAGATATTAAGGGAGTACAATTAAATTTCATAGTTTTAAAGTCATTCTTTTATATAAAAACTCTTTGGGATTCTTTAGATTATATTTCCCTTTTTTTAATTGCTCACAGTCCTCCACTTAAAGGCAATATTGTTTGAAGTATAATTAAATATTAAATGTAAATATTTCTCTCAATAAAAATTTAAACATTTATTCGTTATGAGTTACTAACACCTTACTACACCCAACCCCTAATATTAAATAGACCATTTTTTTTTTACAACACAAGTAGGCTGTTACCTATCACTTTCCTTCAAGGCCCACCAAGTGGAACAAGCCTAACAAAGCTACCTTCTTCCCGGCAGCTTCATCTTGAAGTAAAGCACGGATTCGATGACTCTGAGGACCTCGTCTATCGACTTAGAAATTCGATGAGGCTTTCAACTGAATTACATATGAAACTATCAGCTAATTTTTTACATACGAAACCCACTAACACATCTCTCACATTTTCCGAAAGCTCTGGAACTATCTAAGGATCCAAGATGACTTAAGTACCGACCTAAATTATTGTAATTGTAAGTGAATTACAACTTTTTTATTCATTTTTCCTTTACTATAAGCACTTTTTCTTCTTATTACTATTTCCCAAGGTTTTTAAATTTGAACTAGCCATTCAAATAGATAAAGTACTGGTTCGGCTACAATCAAACTGGTTATTATTAATTTAATATATTTTCAATTTTATTTGTTTACATTTGAATTGAAATTTTATAAAATGTTGGACAAATAAAATTGAAAAGCAAGGGAGTGAGAGGTTGTCTTTTCTATAGTCTAACAAAGAAGCTCAACTTAGATTATCAAAATCATTCTAAGATTGTTTCATTTTTAAAAGCATACATTTATTATGTATTAAAAAAATAACAAAGCACAAGGCACTTTTAGAAGACTTAGTAAAATTGAATTAAAATAAAAAGTTTGAAAAAATATAGATAAATAATTTAAAGAATAAAGATTAGATAGATATGCTTTTATTGAAAATTGAAAATGATATAAGGTTTAAATAAAATTTACTCTAACAACTTCAAAACAACATTTAAATTTTGAATAAATATTTATAAATAATAATATTTAAATTATTAAATATTAAAATATTTAAATTTTAACAAGGTTTTATTTAAAAATGTAATATTTTTTAAATACTTACCAATGTTTCTAGGATTGATAATTTAATAATCACTCAGTAGTCGTTAAAGTGGTTGTTTAAAATGTTGTTTTTATATTTTATATGGATAAAAAAAATATTAGTCTATTATGATTTATTTGTGATTTAAAGGACATAATTAATATTAATTTTCTATAAGATTATTTTTTATAATTTTTTAAATTATTTTTATAATTTTTTAAGTTAATTAATAGTTAAGTCTACATATATTTAACTGTTGGTGATATCGCTTTGTTTATCAATATGTGAAGGAAAATATTACATTACTTTTGACCTGAGTGTATTTTTTTTTTTTTTATACCAAATTGACTTGAGTGTACTGAAAGCACCTAAAAAGTAGCACTTTTTAGTTTGGAAAAATTTCAAGTAGAGACCCTTCATCAAATATAATGAAAAAGAGGACCTCAAAATTTTTAAAATTTCACTGAAGGACCCATACAAAATTTCTTTTAACTTTATGACAGAAATGACAAAATTACCCTCATTTAAATGAACAACATAAACGACTTGTTTGTTCTCATACTGTATATTGTTCATTTACTTATGAAATGTTATTAATTACCTAACGTCACTTGTTTATAGCCTAGTTTTACTTAATTTCATTTGAAGTGTTGGTTTTATAATCAAAAGACTTGTTCGTTCTCATACTGTATGTTATTCATTTATTTTTAAAATGTTGTTCATTTCATTATTTCACTTGTTTATGGTTCTTGGAATGAAATTAAATGAAAATAGAATTATAAACAAGTGAAGTAAGAAAACGAAGAACATTTCGTAAATAAATGAATAACATATAGTATGAGAATCAACAAGTCATTTATGTTGCTTATTTAAATCAAGACAATTTTGTCATTTCTATCACAAACTTAAAAAAAATTCCGTAAAGGGTCCTTCAGTGAAATTTTAGATATTTTGGGGTCCTCTTTTTTATTATATTGGGTCAAGGGTCCCTTAATGAAATTTTTCCTTTTAGTTTTTAACTTGGAAAAGGACAATAAAATTTCTTTGAATTATATAAATGATATTTTAATCTCTTAAAATGTCATAATTTCTTTGAAGTCTCTAGAAATTTTTTTGTCATTAAGAAATTAATGTAAATGATTAGATTACCCTTCGTTCAGGATTTTAAATGCAAACTTATAAATTATTATTGTATTCTTACAATTTTAAAAAGAAAAATTGTGAATAGTAAAACAAAACTTGTGAATAGAATTGATATTTGCAACACTTGATAAATTAGGATTTCAAATGCGAACTTACCAATTGTTGTTGAATTCTTATGATTTTAAGAAGAAAAATTGTGAATATTAAAAGAAAACTTGTAAATGGTAATTAATATTTGAATTTAGAGCAATTTAGTCATTTATATTAATTCCTTAATGACAAAAAAATTTTTAGAGACTTTAGAAGAATTATGACATTTTGAGGAATCAAAATGTCTTTACATAATTCAAAAAAAAATTATTATCATTTTCCCTTTTAACTTAATGGACTAGTACAAATTTTGTCTTTTATAAGGGACTTTTAACATTGGTTTAAAGGCACCTGCTTTTGAAAGTGAGGCAATGGCAATTTTATAATATAGAAAGACTTTCAACATCGAGTTAAAAATAATCGCTGTAGGAAAAACTTTTAATAGTGGTATAAAGTCACCTGATGTTAAAAGCTTAAAAAAATTATAAAGACTTTCAACAGTGAGTGACAAATTTTCAACAGCAGTTGAGTTGACACCCGCTATTGAAAGTCTCATAATAAAAATAAATAAATATTTTCAACAGCGCGTGCCAACTCACCCACTATTGAAAATATGACTTTCAATAGTGGGTGAGCTGGACTCACTGTTGAAAGTCTTTTGTTAAAAAAAATAAAAAATGGTAATCAACAACAAGTGAGACAGTTACTTGCTATTGATTATATCAAATACTTAAAAAAAAACTCCCACACACTCCTTCTTCCCCATTCCTCAAATTCAATCCAATCGCCCCCTTAGCTCCTCCTTCGCCATACTCTTGGCCCCTTCTCATTTCAATTTCACCTTTGCATTTTTTCTCATTTAAAGCAAATATATTAATTCATGTTTTGTAGCATGTTTGGTGTTGGAAAGTGTACCCTAGGGCCAATTATTGTACTATACACATTGTTATTTAATGAATTTCTCTTTTGTTATCATATCAATTACATGTTCAATATGATAACTATATCCTTAGACAAACTATAATGATTGTCCTAAATGTCCTTGGTTGGTCATCTATGAGGGATCATAGATGAAACAAGACTAGTATGACTTTAATTAATTATAGAGATACAAATCAAAGTCATAGGCACTTGAAAGAATACAAGGTGCTAGACCGACCCGCTATGAGAAAGCTGCATGATACAAGTTATAAACTTATCTCATATGTAACTATATCACTAAGCACTTTGACCTGAGATCATCATAGATTCCTACATGATGACCACTAAACTTTGACCTAGTCAAAAGTCACCTTTGATCGAGTGATCATAAAGGCTATGATTGAGTTTAGTGATATTCATGCAGAGGAATATGAGTGGTCAAGATGGAATTTGTCCCTCACATTAAGTGAGAGATATTACTGGGCCCCTTGATGAGTAAGACTGAAAAAATGTATAGCCATACTACAATAGAAAGGGTTTTTCCATTATCACTATCAGTCCACTCAGAGATCGAGAAAGTAATGGTCAGGTATAGGAGAATGACAATTTCATGTCTCATAGTTGACTGAAATATCGTGTGACAAAAAAGATGTGATACGGTTGCATGATAGGTTACATCAGATCATCGATCCCTATGTGAATTGGGTAGTTGCAATGTCTTACTAGAGGCCACTTATGACTTGTGGGCTAATAGCGTAATTAGCTTACTACCAATTTCATATGAGTCTACAGGGTTGCACACAAGAATAGCCCAACTCGAGCTATGATGTCTAAGCTCATTGAATCTGAAATATGTCTAGATTCAATGAATGTAATATAAGGTGAATGAATTTTATATATATATATATATATATATATTTGATAAATATTTATATATA